ATGTCGAGAATTATCCTCGATCGAGACAATTATTTTAAATTGATTCTTTATTGCTCGATTTGAAGGATGATTGCTATTGTCGATAAAATTCTTGTGAAAAGGATTTTACTCGCAACAGGAATTTGCGTAATTGATTCGAATGAAAAGCTTGTTCTCTACGAATATATTTGAATTTAAAAAATACACGTCTAAATTTGACGATTGTTACAATAGAAAAGTAAATATATGGTATTTCAGGATCGATTGCAGACTCCATTCCAAAGCTGAAGAGAAAATAATCGAAATTTCTATTTCTTCCTTAAATAATCCTTAACCCTTTTGTATTAAATGAAATCATATTCGATGACGAGAGAATTCACACAAAGAGAATAAAATCAGAAGCAGAGAAAAATTAATTAATTAATTGAAAGAAAACTAAGAAAATGATTATAGCATACGCATTTTCACAATTCATTATAAGTTTATTATTTTTTATTTCACGAGAATATACATTCAAATACGAATTTTTACGACTTCACTGTCCGCTGATAGTCTCGCAATGAACGAAATCATGCCTGTCGAAATGAATGGACCATATATATATATATCAATGAAGATAAATACACGCACACAATTTATTCAAGTTTGATGAAAGAAGGATATTCATATTGCTGTCGACAATGGCACTCGTATGTGCTCGTGACTTTTACCGGATGTTCAAATAGATGATTCACCGTGTCCGGCGTAATACGAACGGTTCCAGTAGAAATTTCCTTCTTTCAATCTGTTTCGAATCTCTTGTAAAACGAACAATTTCGATGTGCCGTTCCGTTTCGCGGTATGCACTGTGATTCGACACGTTCCGGATATTCGATTATTTAATGCTAGAATTCCAATCTTCTATACGTGTCCGTGAACGTATATCGGATATTTTGTCATTAACTTTTTCTCTCTCTGCACGATTCCATTTTAATCGATATTAATTCGATTAAGAATTTAAATAGATAGATAAATTTTTTAATTATTTTTTGATCTGAGAAGGGAAATATTCAAAATATTGGCATAGTTATTAATTGCACGTCACATTATTTATCATACATATCATAATTCGATTTATCATACATATCATAATTCGATTAAGAATTTAAATAGATAGATAAATTTTTTAATTATTTTTTGATCTGAGAAGGGAAATATTCAAAATATTGGCATAGTTATTAATTGCACGTCACATTATTTATCATACATATCATAATTCGATTTATCATACATATCATAATTCGATTAAGAATTTAAATAGATAGATAAATTTTTTAATTATTTTTTGATCTGAGAAGGAGAAGGGAAATATTCAAAATATTGGCATAGTTATTAATTGCACGTCACATTATTTATCATAC